CAAAACTAGAAGACAGAAGAAAAAGAGGTGATATGATCACTACGTACAAAATAGTAACAGGAATTGATAAAATCGACAGGGAAGACTTCCTGAGACCTGGAACTTCAAGAACAAGAGGCCATAGATTTAAACTAGCTAAACACAGATGCCGAAGAAATATAAGAAAATTCACCTTCGCAAATAGAGTGGTAGACGGTTGGAACAAGTTAAGTGAGAAGGTGGTGGAGGCCAAGACCGTCAGTAGTTTCAAAGCGTTATATGACAAAGAGTGCTGGGAAGACGGGACACCACGAGCGTAGCTCTCATCCTGTAACTACACTTAGGTAATTACACTTAGGTAATTACAATATAATGTAACTCATGCACACTACTGCATGCTATAATATATATATATAACATACAAATCTTATATCATACAACTAGATGCTAATTTAAACCAAAACATTGTAAGTGTTTAAAGAACAAGACAATAAAGTAATATGAGAATCAAGAGTAATGCAGAATCCTAGTGAGATTCGTAACAGGGGTTCACCACACCTTCATCAGGGCTCTTGTAAACAGACGCCATTTTTTTTTTTAAATTGTGGGCCAAACTCCCGGGTGTTAGGGGCCTCAGTATTGAGTGAGCTACCAAGCCTGACGCACGCAGCATGAGCTCACAGCACTGCTGTTCAGCTTGTGACCACAGCATCACCTAAAAATGCCATAATATACTTGTTCATGCTATTATGTAGCGATGATATTATTACAGAAGACCCCTGACTGTGATAAAACTGACCAGGGTTCTGATAATAGCAGGATTGTGGTGATATTTAGCGCTGTGCGCCATGGAGGGAGGAGTAATGCTGTGGGAGGGAGGGTGGTGGCGATGTCTTCTGACTGTGTGTGGCCACCTTTTATTGACTGCACTCACCATACCAGCTTAGTGGTTCGCTATGGTGAACACAAATGTAGATACTTATATATAACGTGTGTTTAGTGTGAGATAACAGCGAGAGTAGGAGGTTGGGAGCCGCCATTTTGGTGAGGGGTGGAGCGTCGTCTGCAGGACTTATCATGTTGTTTACTGATGACCACGATGGTCTTTGGGCACCATACCAGTTTACTTGTACAAGTATGGTGAATAAAACAGGTAGATATTTATATATAATGTGTGTATATAGCGTAATAACACCACAAACAGTATTGTTGTAGGAGAAATATTAGTGCGTCTGGCCTTGAGGGCGGCCGCCACCAGCTGACTGTGTGAGTAGCTACGTCTTTGTGCCTTTACTCACCATACAAGCTTAGATGTACAGTTATGGTGAACAAAACATGTAAATACTTATATATAACGTCTGTATATAAAAGCAAAAACAGTATGGTGGGTGGAGAATGGTGGCAAGTCAGGTGAGGTGAGGTGAGGGAGGGAGTGGCAGCCAGTCACTGCCTGCCACTGCCACTGCCACTCAGCATACCAACTTAGTGGTTTGTCATGGTGAACAAAACATGCAGATACAGTACTTATATATAACCTGTGTATATAGTGTAATAACCGACAAAGTATTTGTTCACTGTTTGATGAACATAATTGAATCAACAATATGCACACCATATTTTTGAGTACAGCGATGATTCACTCATTTTATTATATAAATATATCACACTACACACTATTGAATAATAATACAGCAAAAAAACTACGAAAAATCAATCAGAGACATTGAAATAATTAGGTAATTATCTCTTTGTGGAAACTCTGGCCTGACAGCTGGCGATCAACAGACCGCCTGGGATTCACGCTCAGTCAGCGCCTGATTTTTGCCACACTTCCCCGCCTTATAGTGGGCAATATATGCCGCTTACGTTTTTTTTATTATTTTTCCCGTGATCGTGATCAGTGAACACAAATTAACAGGTTAGGAAGAAATAATATTTTTTTTTTTTTTTTTTTTTTTTTTTATGCGCGTGTGGGTGTCAAATGGTATATAGCTATGCGCCATTTAAGGGTTAAGGTGAGAAAGCTGAAACGAGTATATACGTTTAGGTGTCACCGCGCGGTTACCCGCACACTCGCCCGCACGTCGGGTGCATGACCCCTAAGTTGACCGCGCGCCTGTCCAGTGACCGATAGTGTTAACATACACCTCTGTTTTAGTCGCCGCTCCTCTATCTACAACACAATGCAACAAGCACTTTAGAAACTCTCTATCAACCTCAACATAAACGCATCTCCCAACATCTGTACTGGTGCAGTCATCTATAGGACAAATCCTTTATGCAAACTGCGCCTACTATCAAGAAAGAGGAGGAGGTTGGGGCTTGTCATAATGTATTCACTTATCCATGTGATCTAGTGTTTCTGTCACCAGTTCTGCTATCAGTTCTGGGAACCTAATCCTCCTGACACAGGCTAGGAGTGCCTCTCTTAATTTGTTCTTCTCACTAACTTTCTTGGCCCTAAATCCTTCAACATCTGCCCCTCATCATCTTCCTCGGGAAACTGACCTGATGCAGTCCAAGGTTTTCTCCAACCATTTCTAAGTGTTGTTAGCTTTACTTTACCCATGCTCTAGCAATAGTCCAAATAGCTGACTTTATTGTTCAGATTTAAAAAAAATGTCCTTAATTCATATGCAGACGATGAGTCACAATAACGTTGCAGAAGTATGTTGACCAAACCACACACTAGAAAGTGAAGGGACGACGACGTTTTGGTCCGTCCTGGACCATTCTCAAGTCGACAATCGACTTGAGAGTGGTCCTGGATGGACCGAAACGTCGTCGTCCCTTCATTTTCTAGTGTGTGGTCTGGTCAACAGTGTCCTTAATTGTTCCTGGCTGATTATTAAGACGTCTGGCAAACGTCCTGTTGTAGTAGTGCTTAAGGTTCTTAATTATCCTTTAATCCATGAGTTAAATCAGTAAAGTTATAATGAGTGGTAAGAATGTACCAATGATGATGTTATTTATTAGCTCATCACCTTGTGGATGTGTTGCACTGTTGTCTAGCAGAAGCACAACACTTTTCAGGTGTTCCTTCACCTTGGGACAAAGTTCTTATTAAACCACTACGCAAATATTACTAGATATCCACCCACCTGACTGGTTCTTATAAATCACAGAGGCACCTAATTGTCTTTAAAGCCCTGATGTTTTTTGCTAATTCCAATCACAAGTAATTTAAATTTGTGCTTTTCAGCTGCATTTGCACAGAACAACACAGAAATTGTTTGATAAGATTATAACTCCTCTAAATGATCATCTTCACCACCGAGCCATCGTGTCTGTGGGTAACATACGCCAGTGCAAACTTGTCTTGTCTGCATCATATATCTGTTATGGAGATTGTGTTCCTGCACCATATCTGCAAATTTACTAAATGCTCTTCTGCAGAGTAGCATCAGCAGACTGCCTTTCACCATGTACTCTTATGTACCCAATGGCATGGTAGAGTTTAAAGCTTCTGAGCCATCCAACAGTGTGTGAGCACTGCTCAGAATTTTCGTAGATTGGTGAAATTTGGGAGAATTTTCCATGAGCGGCCAGGCTGTCACTGGCTTAGGTCTCCCCACACTTGTGCTTGTATTACTGCCACACTGCAGTATCAACTCTGCATCTTTGTTTTACTTACTGCCTCTATTACATTACTTTCCCTTAAAAAAAAGTTAAAGATGGTAGCTTTAGCCTTAAAATTATCTGAAAGCAGTCTTTCTAATGACATATTCAGAGTGCACAGCACTTATTGGGATTCAACTCTACACATTCTTAATTACTGTAGTTTCACTTTTTTTTTATCATATGTCATCACTGACCTCTTTCTTTTCTGTATCCTGTTCCTTGAAGTTTTCACTGACACAATGGGTGCATTTGGAGCCGTTTGGAACAGGTGCATGGATGTTCCTTCGAATTTTTGTTCCAACAAATTCACAGAACGAACATTCCAGTCTTGTGACATATCCAAACGATGGGCCGTGAAATGTGACATTACATGGGTAGAAGGCACTAGAGTGGCACCCAACATGGTCACTGGGCAAACTAGGCCCCATCTTCCCCACCCTCCAGGTGGCAGCGAGGCCTAGTGGATGCTCGCCTCAGGACTGAATCGCACCATTTTATTCTGACAGCTCGCCACACCAGTTTATCAGACTCTTTTATACAGACAATCCCAGAATGGGTAAAAGGCATATCCAGATAAGTAGCGTCCGAAAAACACGTGGGCCTTCTGTATTCTCATTACGTGTCCCACTTTCCTAGATGACCATTGTTTACCAGGTTCAGGTACGTTCAAATCATTGTTAACTTGTTTCGCTGGATCTGCAAGATACTTGCACATTGGGATTATGTTCTGGGGAGGTAATGAAGGTTGGTCCATATACAAGTGCCGCCTGTAACAAAAGGAAGGAAGGAAGAAATGTCCTTCTCAAAGCAACCAGAGTATCCCCCAACCTGCCTCTCTTTCCTGTTAGAATTGAGGGCATTTTGGGGACATGTGTTTGCTTTGTGAAAACCTTACAAAAATGAATTGGTATTGTGCAATAATGGAATTGGGCACTGTAATTGGAACTTGGCACTGTTGTATTTCTTAGTAATGTAGTTCCGTTTTAGTAATTACCAGGGCATTTTCTCTTGACTCGTGTAGTTGCTCTCATTCACACGGCACAATGCCTTTAACTTTATCTTTGCCTTTATTAGACTGAACTACTAACCGCTACATGGTTCCTTATGTAACAGTTTGGTAATTGCCAGGGGTGAAAGATAATAAATAGTTAAAGGCTTTCTCTTGGGGAAATATTGAACTGTATTAGTAGTTTTTACTCCTACAGTATTTTCAGTTTAACAGATATGCCATATTTATCACAAAGTATTATACCTCAGTTTAGAACTGGCTTACCAAGTACCTGCATTGTTTGAGGTTTAAATGATACTGAAACTGTTGTAATTTATCTATTGTTTCCATTATTTAAAAGGTTATTACATTAAATATAAAGATTCCTATTAATTTTTGTCTCTTTAAACAGATCTTGCTGAAAGTGATGTGGCCTACACTCATGGGCTTATGAATAAATCACTGGAGAACTTTGAAGAGAAAGAAATCCTTATTCTGGGCGGAGGAGATGGCGCATTACTCTGGGAACTGCTTAAAGAGAAGCCAAAATATGTCACTATGATTGATGTAAGTTCTTATCCTTCAATATTCAGGAATGCTAGAGATATGGCTCTTCTTTTCCCCATGTACTATATCAATATGGGGAATTTGGAGCTAATCTATTGGTGAAATTTGTCCTCTGCCCGATTTAAAAAAAAAATGGGTAGGGGAACGAGTGGGGTATGCATTTTCAAGTTATATATGCCAAATTTGTTGTGTTTACATGTCCTTGTTTTATCTGAATCTATTTTGAGACCATATCAGGTCAGTTGCCTAAAATATTGATCTTGGTGGGGCCTGCATGAAATTTCACTCTTATGAAAGATCCTTCGAAAAACTACACATGGAACCAGAATTTCACATTTCTAGCTACACTGAAGTTTTCTTCTTCCTCCATGAGAATTCCTCATCTATACGAGGATAGATAAATAATTCAAATCAATTTTGAAGTTCTCACAGTAAAGTGAAGATTTTTTTATATGAAATTTTGTCAGGAAATTTGACAATGTCAGGAAACTCATCGTCCTTCTTCTGGATTGGGGAATGGGGGCAGGGTTTGTCCCCTCTTCTAATTCTTACCGCCTCTTTCTGGCCCGGAGATATCTGAGGGTTTCTGGTGGGGTTTAGTTCGGGATGTCTTGGGCAGCTCTGGGAACTGCTCCTACTGATTCGGGCACGGAGGGAGTTGAACCTGTTCATCCAGCCTGGGCTTTGGGACCTTCTTTCTGTCATCCACTTCTTTCCTTGAAGCCTTTCCCTTGGATTCCACTTTTCTATTTCAGACGGTGGGCACAAATGCCGGCTCTACGCTGGGGGGACCTCGACTGCAGCTTCTGGGACTTGGGGAAGGTTGGGTGTGGGTCTCTGGGTCCCGTGTTCCATTCAAAAGGAACATGTGGTTTCTTTGCAGAGGGGGGAGGCAGGGGGGATTTTCTTATCCCACCCCCTCCATGTGTGTGAGTGTGGAGTCGAGCTCGGCACCATCTTTTGATGATAACCTTTTGTTATTTATAGATTGATGATGCTGTGATGGAATCGTGTAGAAAGCATCTAAAGTCTGCTTGTGGAACTTGCTTGGACAACTATAATGGAGAAAACTACAAGGTATGTTCTTACATCAGCCATTGTACATATACCAATAATCTGTTAGAATTTCAAGTTAAATCTTCGTTGATAGGATTTTTCTTTAGCCAAAATGTGACACATGAAGAAACCTGGTTGGCTTCTGTTGCCGCAGTCTTCATAGGAGACTCGTTTCTTAATACTATGCATAATGTACTCATTAAATTTTTGTAATGTCTCGGTTGATAATTAGTTTACCTTGGTATATATCTGCTCCAATTTATGAGTCATAAATACTCATACACTGCCTAAGTTAATCAGAAACAAGTAACATTTAGTGGGGCAGCCAGAGGCTTAGGGCCCATGCAGGAATATCCCTGAAACAAAAAAATTGCTTCTTCTAGCTTTGCTGGACGGATAGGCACCCAGACATCGATCTCTTCGTGTCGGCTTGGTCTGTCTCTTTACATGACGCCATTGCCCGACTGTGAGGCCCTCGAGTAGACAGTTTTCGGCAGGGCTGATCAAGGTGGGGCTACCTTTACCTCCATTGGCCGGTCCAGCTTTTTCTTCGTGTTTTGGCACATCTGGAGTCCCACAGTCGGAGAGTGCTGCTTCTGGCTCTTTGGTGGACAGCTCGGCCTTGGTTTCAGGCGCTGCTTGCATGGTGTCTAGACCCAGGCATTTTTCCACGGCTCCACCTTTATCTGAAGGTGGGACAAGTGACGTACCTCCCTCATTTGGTCTTCTCTTCTGCCTTATGTGTTTGGACGTGTATTTATCGCCATTTGTATGGTGATCAGGTACCTCTTTTAAAATACAGTACACCCTCAGGGTACAGAACACCACCAGCCTCCCAGTGCAGTACAGTACGTCCTCAGGTACTGGACCTAGATTCAGGAAGCTCTGTGTATTTCTTCGTAAGTGGGTTTGCTACGAAGGTTCCTAAGTGTGTCCTAAGAAGATGCTTAGGTGCAATTCAATAACGTCCACTTAGGAAGAAATTTGTTGGTTCACCTGCGTGCCGATAGAGGTCACTACTGTGTTTCGTTTGGCCAGTCAGAGAGCAGCAACATTCTTCATATTGAAGATTTAACGCTGGCTTATCGGAGCTCTACTGCCTCCTATTTACGTCGAATTTTCTTATAAAATTAGTATATTTCGAAGTAAAACAATGTTTTTTCAACTTATACAGCCAGCATCGACATTGCAGTTAACAAATATGTTACATTTGTTATTTACCTACGTAATTCTAAGAGATACTGTGTAGCTGTCCTTGTTGCTCGGAAGATGCGCTGACAATTATTGTATATATTTACTGAATTTACCCAAGGGCCACTAACTATTTAGTGGCCTCGAAGAGGACAGAAAGCCGGCGGCTTGTTAAAGGGCCCGCCAATTGTCTTAATGATATTTTTTAGCTGGAATTTGGCATTTACGGCTTCAGCGGGTAGGCGGTTCCATGGGTTTATAGCCCTCTTGGCGGAAAAAACATCTGTTTTCAGTCCTACTTGAGAGAACATACTCTCCAACACTATATCTGTGATTGCCCTGTTATCAGTGACTTCATACCAAATGGTATGAGGTATTTTGAGCTCTGTAATTACTTCATACACTCAGAAATATTGGAAGATATTCTTGTGCTGCACCCAGATTTTGCCAGTGGAGGCTAATAGATCAGCATTAAGTATTTTGTCCTCCTAATTCCATGTATGACTGGCCATCCTTTGAGGTGAGGATGTTGGATGAGCTTGTAACTGGTTTTGATCACTGTGTGGTCCTTTATACAGAATAGGGAAGCAGCACATTGCTGTGCTGCTTGTTTGAACACCTAAACATGTTTAAAAATACATTGTTTGAGAGGAGTCTTGTAGAAACTGGTAAGAGTAATTATAATATAATGTTTCCATGATTCAGTGCTTACCTCTTGTGAAAATCGCGAAGAGTTGTTTAGTCAAAGTTGATTTGTTTTTTGTATTGAGGCTGGTATTTTCTAAATTGATTCCATGTACAGTATGTCTAACCATTCTGTGAGATGGGAGTATTAGATAAACTTATAGCTAGTTTTTTATCTACACTGTGTAATATTCCATATAGAATAGGGTAGGAGCACATTGCTGTGTATACCTAATCTTCTTAATAAAAAAAAATCAGTACTAAAGATTTTAAATTATAGTTTGTATTATTACAAATACAATACTGTATTATCCTTATTAAATCATGTTGACCATGGATCATTAAGATCTCATGTTGATATGTAATAGTCATATTTCTTTTGAACTGCTAAACTCATTCATTAAATTGTGCATTATGTCTCAATTTTTCACTTCCTTGGATATACTGTACAGTACAAAAAGATAGGATAAAAATAAACCAGTAATATTTCTTTCATTATATTTTTCATTTAAATAACTGCATCAATATTTTTACAGCTGACAGGATTTGTTTTACCATACAGCTGCATTATTTGTTAAAAAAAATTTGGTTTATTGTTACACACAATGGTACTACATAGCCTTCCCAGCTTGGTGCCTTCTTTTAATACTTACTGATTAAAAAATAAATAATAAATACATTTTATTCAGGAAAAGTGCATACAGTTGATTTACAAACATAATGTTGGATTTATAGACAGAGCTAGTACATACAATACCTAAAGCCAATAATACTCATAGCATTTCGGGCAAGGTGTGGTGGGAAAACACTTAGACTAAAACTTAATAGTAATCGGGATTAGGTATAAATTGTGTTGAAAGAAGGAATAAAAAATACAAAAAAGGCGGTTAACATAGCATAAATCAGCAATTGCACATGTTGGTGAACAGCGTTGTTTAAAAAATAGCAAGACATGGGTTGACATTTAGGAGGTAAGTTAGGTTACATGGAGTTAATTAGGCAGTACTTGGTTTAACTCTTAAACTGGTTGAGAGAGGTACAGCCTTTGACATGATTTGGGAGGTCATTCCACATTCTGGGTCCCTTGATTTGTAGAGCACTTATAGTTTGGTTACACACAGCCAAATTGTGTAACAGGAAGAGGTCTTGGACACAAATTTGTTCCATGCTAAATGTAGATGAATCAGCTGACTATTCCTCAGATAAAATAAGTTGCCTCAGCTTATAAGGTAAATAAAATAAGCATTTCTCAAATAAGTAGCTGCCTCACCTCACTGCCTTACTGCTACATAGCCGCCTTCTTTTGATAATTACTTGTTCCACACCCAAATTGTATAACAGGAAGAGGTCTTGGACCCCTACTTCCCTCTCTCTCTTTTAATAGTCTATATAGTCATAATTATAGCTTTAAGTATTCAATGAATAAAGTTTTTGACATTTTTACCCTTCTTCTTACCTAACATCATTTGTGCAGCATATTTTTATTTTATGTCTCACCCAGATTTAATTTCAAAATAAAACCAAACTAAATAAATTAGAAATGGGTATGTATAGCTAAGGTTACCTTACTACTAGGTGAACAGGGGCATTTGGTGATAGTAAATGATCCCATCGGGAAGGGCTCATCACCTTCTCTCATTTTTCATGTTCACCAGTGTTTATTTACTTCATAACTACGGGTATAATATCTTGCTATTATAAAACTAATTCTACTATCATAAAAGACATATTTACTTTAAGTTTCAAGCAGAGAATGCATATATAACTAACACGAAGGACTCCTCTTCACTAGATTCAGTTTTTATAATCTTTTGTTTATGTTCCAAAATCTTAAAATCTATCCCAGTGTTATGTAGTAGAGAAAAATTGAGTTATATCCAGTTTACGTAAAGCTACGAGTGGTCGAAACCACACTTAGATCCCGGAATGAACTTACGAAGGTTTTTCCACTTAGTGTAGCTACCTGAATACCGCCGTAGCCGCCACGAAGGCGCTAAGAAGGAAAACATTCGTAGCCAAGAAGAAAAACCTTTGTAAGTACCTTCCTGAATCCGGCCCCAGGACACCACCAGCCTCCCAGTGCAGTACAGTACGTCCTCAGGTATAGGACACTACCAGCCTCCCAGTGCAGTACAGTATGTCCTCAGGTACAGGACACCACCAGCCTCCCAGTGCAGTACAGTACGTCCTCAGGTACAGGACACCACCAGCCTATCAGTGCAGTACAGTATGTCCTCAGGTACAGGACACCACCAGCCTCCCTGTACAGTACGTCCTCAGAGTACAGAACACCACCAGCCTATCAGTGCAGTACAGTACGTCCTCAGGTACAGGACACCACCAGCCTCCCTGTACAGTACGTCCTCAGAGTACAGAACACCACCAGCCTATCAGTGCAGTACAGTACGTCCTCAGGTATAGGACACCACCAGCCTCCCAGTGCAGTACAATATGTCCTCAGGTACAGGACACCACCAGCCTCCCAGTACAGTACGTCCTCAGGGTACAGAACACCACCAGCCTCCCATGGTGTCCCTCCTGCAGTCTTCTTTTCAGCAACAGTATGAGATTTCTTGGCAGTCTTTTCACCATTTTCTATATCTTTTCCTCTCGTTCCCCAACTGGGTTGTTTTGTTCTTTCTTTCCTGGCGTTTTCTCAATCAGTGTCTTATTCCGAATACTGTCGCTTCTTGTTATCGTGTGGAGTTGGAGCTGCTTTAGCTTGTGTTTGGGATTGATGTCACTTCTGCCCTGTTCCACAAGCGTTCTCATGCTTTTTCACCTCCGGTCTGCTCATGTGCTGCCTGAGCCTGACTGCTCGATTTGTGGTGGCCCCTTCAGTCCAGGAGTCTTCATCATCAATTGTCGTTTTTCCCATTCGGTCCGGGAGGGATTTTGGAAGGCTTGCTTTGGCCTCTGGTTGTAGGGTTAGTGACCTTCATGCTCTGCTCCAGCACCAGTGGTTTTGTTCTTTCGACACTGGTGGTTGTTTTGTTCGTTTGCAGACATCTCCTTTTCTGGCGAAAAATGAGACGGCAGGCTTCCAGAGGGTCCTTTGGTTGTGGAAGCATGGTTTGTTTGGCCATGGATGCATCATGTGCTGTGTCCAGTGGTGACTTAGAGCCATAACCTGCATGTCACCAGTTCTGTGTCAATGGATTTGTTGTGGGTTGCTCCTGTTTCCCTAGTTCTCTGTTCCAGGACTCTTGTGTCTGAGGTTGTCCTCAGTGTCATCATAACTAGCCAGCCTGCGGTCTACCCTCGTGCTAATGATGTTCGGAAGTACAGTATGCCACTTTGTCGCCTGTTTTTGGTAAAATGTCTTGGGCCAATATTCGGTCATGGAGTTTTGTAGGTCTAACGGAGTTTTGGCTGCCAGGTATCATGTCAGTGTACCTGGTCCTCTGCAATCTTGTGTTGCTTTGGGGCATCTGTCGCAGCTGTCAATCTCGCCTTTGCATTGATACTGGCGGTGCTTCCGCCTCCCAGGTAAGTCCCCAGTTTTGTGGGACTTAAGTTTCAGGCCGGCTCCCCACAACGAGGGGAAAGGTAAAAGGGAACTAGCAAGGGGCTGGTTGGACAAAGTCTTGGATGTTTGTTTTTGTATTGGGGATGGAGTTCTTTTGATATTTTCAAGGTGTTGGTCTCACTTTTCAATCATGCAGTAGTTCCCTGGTATACTGGATGCTTCCCTGGTTAATGGCAAGATGATAAACTGTAAATGTAAAGTATTCATGGGCCATTGCTCCTTGCTCCCCTCTGTGAAGGGGGAGCCAGGTCCTGGCTTGTGGTCTCCAGGAGGAAACAAGATCTCTACGACTCATGACTCCAAGTATTAAGGCACCTAATCAGGAAGCTAGCTTCAGAGAGCCTCCGGGGCTCGTCCAGAAATTGGCGTTTCATTACATTCAATATTGGTTGTTTTTGTTGGCTCTAGCTTCCAGTTGAGTGTGTCTAGCTCAAGACACTCTGGGTGGTGTGTTGTGTTCATTGATTTAGTAATGTAGCTGGATCAGGATGTGTAATATATTTATGTATGACATGTGTGGTATACTTGTGCATGCAAGGCATAACTTTCACCCCTTTTTTAACCCTTAGAGAGTAGCTATTGCATAGGTCATACCCACATATGCACAAAAAAAATATGGAATTAATAGTTCATATGCAAAATGTAAGATAAATATGAAAATTAGTGAATATTTATCACTTCAATAGGTGGAGGTGTTCTGCAAGGCTGCGTCTGGCACTTGTCAACGCCTGGTGCTCAACTTTGCTGACGCTTGCTGTTTTATTCTCGGATGTTTTGCCGTTTTATCACTTTTATTCTTTTAGTTATACCCTCAGAGAACTATTATATATCCATATTTGCATTATACGTGTAAAACCCAGACAACAATTGTTTATATCGTCATATAACTATGACCGCATTCCAATAGTAACATTTATGATGGTAACGGTATTTATAACCATGAAATTGTAGCAGGATTTTGTCATGGGTTAAGGTAAACTCCATTACATCCACATAGACCTATTATATCCATATTTGCATCATACATGTACAACCCAGACAATAATTGTTTAAATCGTCATATGATGATAACCGCATTGCCTGACGAATCTTCAATAGACAATAATTGCCGCCTTAGGGTTAAACTGTTTTGTTAAGCCATTTTAGCTAACAGTTTGTAACCATTTCAGATAATTGTAGGAGATGCAATATCTTACATGAAAGAGAAGGTAAAGGAAAAGAAAAGCTTCGATTATGTATTTGCTGATTTGACTGATGTTCCAATATCGCCGTCTCCTCGTGGAGAACTGTGGGATTTTATGCGTACAATTATGAACTTGGGAACAAAACTGCTGAAGCCTGGCACAGGAAAGTATATGACTCATGTAAGTTACTTCATTAATTTGTTTTAACATTATAAATACAAAATGTATACAGTACAGTAAGTATTTTGCAATTACCTGTATGGTTAATCTTTATTGGAAGACTTGTTTATTTTTGTAGCATTAGTTTCATGAAAAGTGTGGGTGAAAATAGGTTCTTAAAGGGAATAAATATCGGCAGTGTTGCATAAGAAGTTCACTTACATATACAGTGGTACCTCGCATAACGAATTTAATCCGTTCCATGTTCGTCATGTGAAACGGACGTCATACAAAACGAGTGTCCCCCATGTAACCACTGTGATGCACTGTGTTTATTGTGAAATTCCCCCAGTGTGCATGACATCAAATGTTCCCCAAAATATCATTTTTCTTTGCAAAAGGATAAATTACTGTCCCTGAACATGTCTATGTAAAAATAATTACCAAATTCCACTTACTTTGGCTGTGAGGGCGTGGACAAGGTGCGCTGTGACGTCATCAGGGGCTGGTCGCCCGTGTGTGAAGCTCCCAGACACGGTCGCGCAGGCCATTCAAGCACCGCGTGTTGCCACAAATATATTTTCAAATATTTTTCCTATGCATTTCCAATGCGGTTTTATTTGTTTCTTTTATCGTATATGATGCATATTTGTGACCTTTACAATATGTATACAGTAGAATGTTCATAATTTTCCATGAAACTGTGATACATGTGTCAGTAATGTGTCCACAATAAATGTTTATTGTCACAATATTACGTGGTAAAAATTCACTAATATTACAATATGTACAGTTTCACATACTATTTACACAGTAACACACTGTATTACACACTCAGTACTTTGGAGGTGCGTAATAGTCAATGAAGTAGTCCATGGTACACAGCGCGACTTTGCTCTCCTTGCACCAGCTACAGATAGATTTTTGCTTCCTGTTTCATCGTTCTGTGTGCTTGCAAATAATGCACTCGCGTGCACCCTTGGCTTTAGTACTTGTAGGTGGTATGTAGCCAAGCTTGTAAAGCATAAGGTAGTATTGAAACGATTATAGGAAAAGCTCAATTTGTAAGGTAGTCTTGAAAAGATCGCTTTGTAAGGTCCCACACAGGAAGAGATTCAGCTAGCCTCAAAGAGTGTCCATCAGTCAGGAAGAGATTCAGGTATTCTTGAAAATATCAATGAACAACACCACCATGGAAGCCGCTAACACTGTTCATCTATGCTACTTGTATCAGATGCATCATCACTGAACGCAGAAAACGATTCATCTATGTATCGTTTTGTATCAATTCATCTTTGTATCAAGGGAGCCGGTCGGCCGAGCGGACAGCACACGGGACTTGTGATCCTGTGGTCCTGGGTTCGATCCCAGGTGCTGGCGAGAAACAATGGGCAGAGTTTCTTTCACCCTATGCCCCTGTTACCTAGCAGTAAAATAGGTACCTGGGTGTTAGCCAGCTGTCACGGGCTGCTTCCTGGGGGTGGAGGCCTGGTCGAGGACCAGGCCGCGGGGACACTAAAGCCCCGAAATCATCTCAAGATAACCTCAAGATGTATCATCTATATAAATTCAAGATGGCAAGGGTGGGGCTCAGAGCTACAACTAGATACGCTCGCTGTATCATCCTCATAAGTGCTGTATCACTGGCATCCGACCGTTATGTTAAGCCCTTATTGCGCCTAGCTTCACCAATGTTATGACCCTTACGTTCTTCAAACAATAGGATCTGAATTGCACCGACTGAGCGCAGTCTTTCAACACCGTGTGGGACAGGTGTTTGAGAGCCAGAGGCACGTGTGCTACAAATGGTTGCTCACGCAGTACTAACCCAGCCAGCAGCCCTAGTCTTTCATATTCGTTATAGCAAAAGGTTCGTTCAGTGTTTGTTGGGTAGGCTGCTCCATTATGACAATCTTTCTTTGTTTCAAATGTGTTCCTTTTGTTTTGTATTTGTCACTTACGTCTCAATAATGGAGCAGCCTACCCGACAAACACTGAACAAACCTTTATGGCATTTGTCCATTTTTTCAAATTGTTTCAACAGTTCTTTTATTTTTCGTTTTTTTTTTTTATTTAAGAAACATGGAGCAGCCGACCTGTAGACCACCGAACGAACCTTTTTGACATTTGTACTGTTTTCAAAATTCTTCCTTTTATTTTATTATTTACGTTTTTTGTATGTAAGAAACATGTAGCAGCCTACCTGCCGATCACCGAACGAACCTTTTGCTATAAGACAAATGAAAAATAAATATTGAACACATTTGAAGAAAGGAAAATGTCATAATGGTTTATTCAGTGTATGTAAGGTAGGCTTCTCCATTATTGAGACGTACGTGACAAATACAAAACAAATGGAACACATTTGAAACAAAGAAAGATTGTTATAATGGAGCAGCCTACCTGCCGAACGAACCTTTTTGACATTTGTTGTATATCAGACATTTCATTTCTTTTTTCCTACAAAAACGTCAATGCTTTGCAACATCTCAGCAGTCACCCTTTTATATCCCAGCATCATTAGCATCTTTCAACAAGAACAACATAATTTATGTGTATCGTCGGAGGCGTCTAAGAATGTGCAAGAAGCAGCGCGACCCCACCATGTGGTGTTGACGTTACTCAAACCAGCGTTCGTCATACGGGACGATTGGACGCCGATCGGGCCGTCCGTTACGCAAAATGTTCGTCTTTTGGGGCGATCACTATGCGAGGTACCACTGTATACCCATAATGTTGTATCAAAGTCTAAACTAATTTTACTTGTTCAGTGTGTAACCGTTGTGTAACAGTATGTAAATAATTTTAACAATTTACATATGTTTGTGACATGGTCAGACAGCCATGATGCAACATTCCATGCGCTAAAACCATGACAAGCGACCCTCGAGCCCAGCAAGGGCAACACGGACCCCGTGGAAAGTCCCAGAAATAAATAGTTATGAAAGTAGCAAAACACAGTTATGAGCATGGCCACAGTATCTTCCCAGTACGTTATGGTACCAAAGAGACAGCCACGTGACTATCAGGCCTCTGGCCTTGTTTAGGCCTACCAAACGCTAAGACCAAACTGGTGAGCTCATAGACGGGAGATGAGTATGTGGGTCTAAGATCGACCTCATAACCCAGTAAAACTGCCCCAGATTGTACAAGCATAGCAAAACAGACTATATATACCTTGATGAAATAAAGAGTAGATGGAAACAATGAAGCTGTAGTATGTCCGATGTCAACAAACTAGGCACTAATATCCCAGCACACCACCAGATGACAGCTAGGGTCAGCAAGGGTCCTACCTGGCCACCCAGCTCACTCATATACTTGCCCTAAATTGGCTCCGAACCCCACAGAAAAAGATGGGCAAAAAGGGTGGGTACAGGAAGCTACTGAGGTCACCTAGAAAAGTTAGTTTTATTGTATATTAAACACTTCATTAAAGCTGGTCCACAGTACCTCCACGGTACATAACACCCAATGGTGCCTCTGAGAAGCTTTGGGGTAAAGGTAACAGTAAAAATGGATACAAAGATGGAAGGCTGACCAAGGCCCTCAGCAACAGCCTGTTGGACCAAGCTTGTCAAAAAAGCACTTTGGTAGACCAAACAAGCCAAATCACTTGTACTGTCCCATCTTGAGTACTGCTCAGTACTCACTTTCCCCGTTCAGAGCAGGAGATATTGCTGAAATAGAGGGAATACAGAGAACATATATGGCATACATACATGCAATAAAGCACCTAAATTATTGTGATCGTCTCAAAGCTCTCTAAATGTACTCACTAGAAAGAAAACGAGAGAGATACCAAATAATATACACATGGAAAATACTGGAGGGACAGGTCCCAAATCTACACAGTAAAATAACAACATACTGGAGTGAATGATATAAAAGAAAATGCAGAATAGAACCAGTGAAGAGCAGGGGTGCCATAGGCAGAATCAGAGAACACTGTATAAACATCAGAGGTCCACGGTTGTTCATCACCCTCCCAGCGAGCATAAGAAATATTGCCGGAACAACCGTGGACATCTTCAAGAGAAAACTAGATCATTTTCTCCAAGGAGTGCCGGACCAACCAGGCTGTGGTGGATATGTGGGCCTGCAGGCCGCTGTAAGCAACAGCCTAGTGGACCAAACTCTCATAAGTCAAGCCTAGCCTCGTGCCGGGCTTGGGGAGTACAAGAACTCCCAGAACCCCATCAAGCAGGTATCAAGGAAGCAAAAAGGCTGGAAACTCAGGGTTTGGGGACCCAGCATTGAATGTAATTAAATGTTTCTTTCTGGATGAATCTTGGTAGCTCTGTGATGCTCTCGCTGAGATTACTCTATGCAAATAGGTCACATCACACACAAGTTGTGTTTAGCTTTCCGGGTACCAGAGCCAAACACTGGCCTCATCATAGAGGTACAGAGAACACGTGACACTTCACCACACCGGGAAAGCATCCACAAAGTTAGTAAAGCTTTATGGAAAACTAAAGGGTTAACAAAGCCTGAGGTCTCAAAACTGAAAAACAACTCTAAAAATGATTCATACAAAATATGAGAAACATTCAAAATTAGTGTGCAACTCGTAGTATTAAATGCCACCACCAGGCAACCCAGTTTATGCTTGCAGCCATCTTTCATGATCAGTTCTAGAGCTGCTGAACAGCCCACTGACAAATTGTCGAATCTGATTGGTGAAACAGGAGCATGTGGGAGGAAGTCGGGAAGCAGCAAGGGTTTATCCAGAAAGATGCATTTCATTACATTCAATGCTAGGTTTCT